AGATCAAGTATTCCACATACAAGATTTAGTTTATTAAAATAAGTAGAATTGAATATTCAAGAAAGTTTGAGTATGAAATGTGTCTTAACTATGGCTTTCTCATCCTCTTGCTTAAAACACTCTGGTGATCTTGTAGACTGTCCCATGTTTCCAGAGGCTTGTATCTGGGGATTCAGCCCTCTAACTATAGACCTGAGGCACAGCATAACCACAAAAAGACTTATGAAACCACTCAAACATACCTTACTTGACAGTACAAATGAGAATAAAACCGAAGTATCTGCATTTTGTGCTTATTTTCATAGCTGGCATAGCTTTCATGAAGCAGGTTGTCCTGTTTCACCAAGGCAACTCCTGTTCCAGCCTTAGAGACATTTAATTTGCTTTTTCAATTGCTTTTCCCCAATTTACTGGGAGTCACTTCAGCGGGCTCCTACTTGTATTCCATCTGAGCAGGAGCTCACATCAGACAATTGCGGTCCTGACTCTAACACCATGCAATTGTAACTGAAAAAAAGATAAAAATCAAAATAACTTGGATAATACATCCAGAAAAATCAACATTTCTGTAAGCCACAAGTTGGAGTTGAAGCTTGTTGATCAGTGTGCACACCAGTGATCTCTTTTGGGGCAAAAACCCCACCTGTGCTTTGGGAGAGTACATATTCGTGAGCACAAGCTCCACGTGAGCATTGTTTTTGCTGGAAGTGAGGGCTCCATTCACCTCATTTTCCCTTGAGGTGCAATGAAGCAACAGCTCTATCCTTTGTATTCTCCATGTACCTACTGCCATGACAACCCAAGTTCTGGATGATTGTGCAGAAGAGTCTCTGCTTACAGTCACCAGCAGCTCAAGGCCGATAAGGTGACCCACTTAGAAGCAATGAGACAACCAACTCTGGTTCACATTGTTTGAACATTTATTGCAATTCAGTGTCAAAAATATTTTACAAAAATACATTACTGTCTGCACAGAACAGCTGTAAAAATCGGAGTTGAACATGCAAGGGAAGAAGAAAAAAGTGTGCAAATTCATAATGGAAGGATTTTAACCACACAATAATATTAAACAGAAGTCTTATTATACAAGGGATGCCTTTCACTTCATATAACCTCTAGCTACAACTTTAAGGAAAAACAAAACAGAACACACACTTTCTTCCATATATAAGTAGGTATTTATAATTACTGTAGATTAGTTCCTAAAGATGAGCATATTTGCTATTTCAAATTAAAATGTTCTCTTGGTAGCTGACCTGTTAGCACTCTGTGAAGCACACCATGGATAAAGAAATGCACATTTCATCAGCTGCCCTCCCAGGTGGAAAAGAGGCAATGCTTGGTCAATGGAGGGGGAATCTCTCAGGTGTTCAAGGTATTAATTAATATACTAGAGACTGCATGTGTCAATGACAAAATGGATTTGGTCTCCCTAGGGCCAGATCCTGCAAAACCGATTTGCTACCAAAGAAATCACTGGAGGAAGACTGATAGAAATCAGGTGCCTGTAAAGACACTTGCCCAGCCTGGCAGCCACATGCTGATAGCAGTGTGGATGGCTGGACACATCTTCAGAGCCTTTAACCAGCATCATTATAAACAATAAGCTGAGAAGAGCAGCACAAGCAGAACACCATAGTCCCAACCCTTGTAACAGGGCGTCTTTTATCAGCCTGATAAGCCATCAGCTCCATGGGGTCTATGTTTTTGCAAACAGGCCAGCTAGGAAAGGTAGCATTTTAATTTAAAGCTATGTCTTTTTGGCAAAGTGCTGATCTATGGGGAAGATGTGCAACGGGTTTGTAAGAACAACCCCAGAGGACAATGCTGTACCGAGCAGGAGATAAGCATGAAACAGCACACCTGATTTATTAGCTACTAACAGAATTTGAAATGTCCCTGCTCTAAATCAAATTTTAGCTACTAAGGGCCAAGGAATTTTCTGGGCAGGAAAAGCTGGTTTAGTACCTGCATATGTTCTAGAAGGTGATAGCTTTGCAAGAGTGATTGAAGGCAAACGGAAATGGGAACACAAACAGTTCAAAACCTGGGGGCAAAGAAGAATAATAAAAAAACATATTCCCATATACAGAAAGTGGCAGGGTGTAATTAAATGTTTACATACAAAGCAACATCTTCAGAGCAATACAAGTTTTCCTAATCACTTTAGAAAATAAAAGGATCTAGATACTTCCACAAATAAAAAAAAGAAATCCAAACAATATAAGAGGAGGTGCACACGTTCTATGATCAAACTTTACCATACCATAGTTAGTATAAATGGCTTAAGGTAGGTACAGCTGATATTGTGCCTCTTGAAGTGGCTATCACATTAAAACAAACTCCAAATACCTGCCTCTTCTAGAAAGCTGAAGCAAACATTTCTGGGATGTCTCCCTTCCTAAGCCTCCTCCTCTGCATGGATCTATTTTTCCTCTTCACAGCACCACGTTCCACACTGTTGCACTGGTTAACACATCCTCTGAAGATAATGAGATTTCACTGGATATGCTGGCAGGAGAAAAACCCAAAGAGAGAAAAACCCCTCCTTTCCTAATGTAAGAACTGATGCATATCTAATGGAAATGCATCAACTAACTGGAAGTGAAATGCCTTTGAAAAGAACATTCTATTTCCAAAATACATGTAAAAGTGTTTTCCCTTCACAACAGCTTTGCCACAATTATCCTAAAATAAAGAGGTCCTTTCTGCACAAGAGCAACCTCACACCATCCTGCCTGGAAGCCCCTGTTATCACTGTCAGGTTTGTTATTCTGCCATCCTCAGCCAAGCAGATGCCTTTGCACAGATCACTTTGTTTATAAGTAAGTGGTTAGACTAAGGTATTTGGATGCAACAGCATTTCATTTTAAATACAAAACAAGAGTATTGAATTCAGCACAGTATCTCCCTGTACCAGCCACTTGAGAAACAACGAGTCTCCCAAAGAGATCAAGGTCTCATTTGACAGTTGCTGTAGCAGGACAGTAATGACCGAGGCAGTAACTGAATGAGGCTTATTCTGTTTCTTCTGTTTAGTCTGTTTTGTTTTCTAGTACAGTAGTTGCTTGGTTTTCTGCTGCTTTGGACACTGACAGCAATATCCCAGGACACAAGTGTCTGTATGTATTAACAAATCATCGTCAGCACTTTGACCCTTTAACATCTACACAGTGCTAAGAAATAATTTAAAAACCCCCCACTAATTGAATTAAGTTTTATAAATCGGAGCCTCAGCTGCATATTAAGTATGTTGTCAGCATGACCCATGGTCTCTGGGCAGAGGACACAGAATAAACTCTTTGCTCAAGATCAGTGAAAGGCTGACAGAGGCAACGGCTAGAGCTGAAATATTCCCAAATCACAGCTAAATGCTGGGATTTTCTGTCTTGCTGTGCAGAGAATGCACCAGGCTGGATTCAAACCTGAGCTGAAAATTCACCCAGTGCCACAGTCTCACAGTGGATAAGTGTCATCTGCTAAGCATGGACACAGACTAGGCAGAACCTTGAGCATTTCATACTGAAATACTGTTGCCTCCCCATCACAACAGGTTGGCTCACTATGGCTGACAGAGGCAAGACTATGAAACAAACCAACCCCAAGTCAGAGATAGAAACAGAAGATGCCAAGGGGCAGAGGTCCTCTCAATGTTAGAAGAAGGAACTACAGCAATCTCCAAATAGAGTGGCAATGCTTCACACACTTCACTTGCAGGTTTCTGAACCCAATATCCTCATTCATCAAGCCAGATTTCAGCCTCATCTACCCGCTGCCATCAATGCTGGAATGAAAACAGAAACTGGCCTCCTTCACTCACAAACATCCCCCCAAACAAGCACAAGTTCATTTTTCCAAGGTAACAGCTTTTAAATCACTTTCAGTTGACACAAATACAGTCAGCAGGCTTATGCTTTCCACCAGCACTCAAGTTGATGGATGGGGCATCAACACCAAGATAAAGCTCCCTATCCCACATGTGTTTTGTCCTCATCTCTGGAGAGTGCCAAGCTCTGGGCCATGGGTAGAGGTGGCACAGGCTCACAGAGCTCTCTGGAGGAGCGAAAGCTTGGGTTTGCTGTTGGAAGGCAGAAGGGCAGTTCTTCTGAGCATTTTCTTGGTTTTTCTCTCCCCTTCTCCACTGCTCCATCTAGAGGCAGCTTTTTTCCCTTTTTGTGTCTCTTCCAAGAGTACGCAAAGTGATTTAGTTTGCAAAAATGCAAATACTGACAATTTTTTGAAATATAAACAGCTGCAGAAAAGTGTTGAAAGTCAGTTATAAAAACATAAAAAATGAACAGAATCTTTAACAATAATTAACTCAAGTAGTTCTTCCTGAATTGTCCTGAGTACTCCTTCCTCACAATTCTTTGTACGTAGTCACACACCACCCACTAAATATTTACCCCCTCAAGATATCCTGCTTACATCATGCACAGAGAAAGTGCTATACAGGAAATCTACTGGCAAACAGCAAAAAAATTCCACTGCAGGTTTTCAAATTGTTATATACGAGCTGGATTCTTCTAGCTCCACTGCAGGGAAAAGTGAAGCATTGTATGCAACAGAGAAGACGGTGAGCCAGATCACGGACACAGCAAAGTTAGTTTGGCCACTTATTCCATAGGACTGAAAAATTCTCTAGGCTAGTGTTAGAAGATCCCACAAATAAGGGACTAAGCTGGGTCTTCGCCACTGGCACAAAGAAATAACCAAAGATGTCAAGTGCCATGTTGGAAATCCCTTGCTTACCCCAGTCCTGACTGCTGTTTTATGGAAAATGCTGACCTGTTTCATGTTGTCTCGCTCATCACCCTAAACTCCAGTAGTCTGAAGTTAAACACTGTGCTGCCAGTCTTCCAGTGACTAAAAACCGCATCATTTCACTATGTTCAACAGCCCAGTTCTCCCTGTATTTTACCAGCTCTGAGATGACTGAATTCACTTGACAGCAGTGGGAATAGAGCAGTGTGTATTGTTGGAAAACTAGGAAAACATAGGCTTGAAGAACCAGATTCTAACCTCACTTGGGATTTCAACCAGTGCAATTAACCTAGTGAAGTCGATATGAATTTACATTGTCCTCTGTTTCTCTATAATAGAGCTGCCTCCCTTTTAGATAGTCTTCATCCTTGTGGCTTCTCCTTTCCCTTTTGCTTAGTCTTTCATAAAACCAACAAATTAAAAGAGGATGGAGTAAGTCTTAGGTATTTATATGGTGCCTATCACCTAGGCATTCAAGCATTGAGTAGAGCAAGAAAACTAATATAAAGAGGTAAGCATTAATACAAGAAAAGATGCTTACTGTCACAAACATTTCCCTTTAAATCATTGTACAAAATACAAAAGTTCACATTGTACACTGGATTTTTGTTTGAAAGGTACTCAATCAATTAGAGGTAGAAAGTGGTATGGTGCGATTCTCCTTCGCAAGTAGGCTAGAGTTCTATCCTAAGTATTTCAGAATGTGTCCTTTTTAAAAACATAAAAGTATTATTAAACTTGTCACAGGGATATTTTTCATAAATATTTTTAAAACATCATATTTATAAATATGTATGCTAAATAAAACCAGATGGAGAAACAATTCAACAGTCCTAGCCTCATATTGCTTTCTCTCTATTAGAAACAAACCAAAAGAGTTCTCATGGTTGTGGGGCAAATTCATTTTTAACTTCTAAAAACAAAAAATGAAGTTTTTTTGCCCTGTATCTTGTACTCTGATCATAAAAAAAGGGAATCTGTACAACATGCTGCATTTATACACCAGTCCTACGGAAGTCTGTATTCCTTAAGTGCTGCACGTCAGTGAGCAATTTCACCTTTCATCTCCAAGATCCTCTTGTTCCTTGACTCAGGAGCTTCGAACAAACATGAATATTTACACTATTTACAAATGGAGTGTCCAAGCTCGGTGGCATAAAGTGTCCTGTAAGATTCGTGTAAGCTACAGTGACCCAAGTTCAGAACCTGAACAAGTTGATAAAGTCTTGTGGCGAAAGAGAGGTGGAGCAAGTCTCCGGGTTGTTGGCTGTGCAAGGGTGATCAGTACCCTGGGAAAGAAGAAAACAACTCCATTTAGAGAGACTGCAGAAAGAGTGCCAGAGCACCAGCCAGCTGAGCCCTGCCCTTCTGCCAGACATCCTGCTTGCAAAGAGGCAGAGCAGAGCCCAGAATAATATTTCTACTCTCATCAAAGCAGACAGCTAAGAACTGGGCTTCACATTTCAGGGGCTACTGGCAAGTCAAGGGAAATAAAACCAGCAAAGATCCAATTCATTCTTTTCCTCTCTTCTCTGAGGGAAGAGAAGCTGGAGCCTACCATTAGCTACAGGAGTTTAACTCCAGAAACATGCCTTGGACATCACCACAGTGGCCAGCAGAGTTTTCTCCTGTGCTGTTCTATAGCCATCAACTCGTGTTCCAGCTAATCCTGTTGGCCAAGACCTCCACCTCCATGTAACAGGTGGCAGGAGTTGCTGGCAGCACTAAGATAATTTACTGCAAGCAGCCCATTACTCTCCCCTCTGGCCTTGATGGCCACTATTGTTCAATGTAAAGATGGGATCTCTGAAGCACAGAGGAGAAAGGTCTTAATAGTTGAGGGAGGATTAAGATATAGGAAAACACTAGGTTATGCAGGCAAAGGAACTGCAGCACCCTAAACGAGCTGCAATTAGAGGAAGCACTTAGTGCCCCATGGCTCCTGCCGCAACTGAGTTTGTCCCACCAGCAACTCATACCTTCCAGGAGAGGATGTGGCAGTGCCTGCAGAGCTGCAATGTGTCACCATACTGCTCCTTCCGTGGGTAACACCTTATGAGCTTGAAGTACATCTTTTTCCAATCCAGCTGTCCCTTGTCAGATAAGATTAGCCGTTTGCGAATCTGAAGGAAAAAAATTGTAGCAGGTCAAATAATGTAGCTTTTTTTTTTTTCCTCTTCAACTCATGTTGTTCTCCTCTTCCTTGCATATGTGGCATCCTTGCTGGTCCCACAACAGTCCCCTTGTAATACAAGAAAGCTCCTGCTCTGAATCCCCAGCTATAACCAGCTTCCTGATGGCAACAGCCTCACCCAATACCATTATCAAAGTCTATCCCCATTTCACAAGTATTACTGTATGACAGCCTGAAACCCTGGAAGCTATTTCAGATTACTTTAGCCACTGATTCTGGCTGGCAGGACAGCAAGTATAATTACATTTAACAATTTCAGAAGTTAAAGTATTTTGCCTTCTCATTGACTCTAAGAGTCAGCAATTTGTCATATTAGCTTGGGAGACACCTGTCTGTCTTTTAGGGCTTATTAGTTACAGGGATTGGATTTGTTGTTAATAGAAGTAACATTCCCAGAGTCACTTCCAAAGTCAGATCCAGAGTGAGCAAATAAAGCCAAATCAGCAGAGAAATCTGGTACGTGGTCCCTGAAGTGCAGAGGTTGGTATAACCCCCCTCAGATATTAACCCATAAACAAAGAGAGGGATTTGTGTTGATGTGTTTTTAAGTTTAGAAGACCACAGATGGTTACCAGCCTGCAAAAGACCAAATATGTTTACACAAGTACAACACTGGTAGTGACAGAGCTGTTTTCCACATACCATCCTGTCACTCCTGAAACAGCTCAGAGGGGATTTCTTGCTCCAAAGGGCAAGAGAGTACGACTCATTGCTCATGGACCACGTCCACAGAGATTCCCTGCAAGGGTGTCAGTCCCCAGGACACTGGGGTGATTGCTGGAGCTTGCCTGCACGTTTTCCTCACACACGTGGGGTGAGGAGCAACTGCATGACTTGCAGTTGTTACCACCTGGATTAGGGTAGAAGAAGTTCACCGTATGACTAATTCCTCAGGCTCCTATTTCGGGAGTGGCATGCAAAACCCTCTACATAAATCATCTTCACAGCCGTTCTCATACCAGCCTCTATTATCAGCTTGCAGCACAGCCCTTAGATCCAACAGATAGTCAAGTGTGTCCTATCCGCATGTGTTCACTTGCTAGGGGGTTACAACAAGCAACTGATGGCAGTTTGCATCCCTCCTTGTACCTGTCTGTCTGTAAAGTGGTACTGGCAGAGCTTCTTCCACAGCAGCCGGTCTTCGCTGAGCACTTGCAGGTCAGGAGCCACCTGACCGAGGCTGACGAGGTCTCTCCCATCACTCAGTCGCTGCATGATGTTCAATTGTAAACACAATGGTAGGTCTGTGAAAGTGGTTCCTTTAAAGGCAGGCTGGAAGAGACAAACAAAATTGAGCTCACAGGAAGCTGAAGACCCAAGCAATTCTAGCTTGCAGTAGAGTTACTGCTTTTTAAACACTGCTCTTCACACAGAGAATAAGCAGCAGTTCTCTCTTCTGAATAAGGAGGTGTTTTACACATAGACATTTGACCATCTACCCCAGAATAGTTTAAGATATCCTCAAGGAAGGGGACATGTATTTCTATTACAGTAGTTAGAAAGAGTTGCAGTCCAAGCCTCCTCCTCCCTTTTTTGTCCATTCCACATCCATACTCATGAGACTGCTCCCAGAAGCACCAATACCAGCTTTCAAGACAGCAGGACACTGGCTACATCGTGGTATCAGCTATTAACCACCCAGGTTTCTCCACTGCAAGGGACATCAGCATTACTTCTCAAGTTCAGCCTCCTGTTACACACATTGCTGGGAATCTCATGCTCTTCTGACATGTGTTTTAACTTATGTCATCACAGGATCCTGCTGTAACCACAGCAGTGGCTGATGAGTACTCACAGCAGGATTTTTCCCTGCATGGCTTCCCAGGTCACTGCTGGCAAGGCTAACTTTTCCTCTGTGAACACAAAGGACCTGGCCCTTTCCCATCAGCTGCAGCCATGGTTTTCCAGGCTGTTCAGCCACACCGAAAGACATCCTAGCCCAAAGAGCCAAAAGCCACCTTCACCCCCATCCACCTCTGCCTGGTCTACACAGGGTACAGGACTGTTCTGCAAGTCCACATGGTGGCACAGCTCCAGGACAAACTGACCACGATGGATCCTGTACTCAGAGAAAAATCCAAGGCACACATGGGAGCAAGGCATCAGCAAGGACCACAGCCCAGGCTCCCGCTGCTCCAAATACAGCCCCAGCCTTATTAAGGCAAACAGCAGCTTTTAGGATTGGGCCCCAACAAAGAAACAATGTTAGACAGATGTGCCAAGTTTATCATTTACCCTGCACAGAGATGCTGCTATTTTAAGTCGCAGAGTCACAGCACCCCTCTCACAATTGGCAGAGCTATTAACCGTTTCCAACGAGAAGCACGCAGAGTGCCATCAGCAGGGGAAAGCTGCACAAGGCTGCTTTTAATCACACAGCCCCATCTCCAGCCATCCCACTGCACGTGAAACTCCACAGGCACAAGAAGTATGTCTGTACACAAACAGCTCCCACCTTCCCTTTAGTGCCCCAGTGACCAGCCTATCAAAACCATGGAGCCCTGCCCAGTATCTGCAAGGACCACAGCTTTTCAACCAAGGCGTCATTTTTGGTCACCTCCACCAGCAAGACAGGCTTGAAACAACCCCTCCAGAAGCAGTGAATTGTCTCTGCCACGTCCAGAGGACATCTGTTCCCATGACAGCTTTAATGCTGCATGCTGAGAGTTCAGCTACAAGCATCCTGCCCGGTTACACGTAGATGCTTCCTCAGTACAATCCACAAGTCTGGACTCAGCATCCCTGTTCAGATGCACTGGAGTGTTGGATCACCTCCGATCGATGTCCCTTGCCAGCCTGTCTTTGCATTCTCCTGCACTCTGTCTACATATAAGCTTCACTAGGGCACAACAGGCAGAACTAAGCTCAGAGGCTTTTGGGTCAAAAAACCACTCCCAAGCTTATTGCTTCTGTTTTATTTCTGAAGAAACGAGTATGACTCAAGCAAATCCTTACAGGTTTTCTGAGTCAGGGCCAATGACTTATCTGCTACTTTGTTTCCCTCAGTGCTCCTTTCCAGGACTTTTCAAACATTACTTTTTTTGGAGAAAGAACACAGATTAGATCAGAGCAGATCAGTATGCTGTGATTTTCTAGACAGAGTTTTGTGTTTTGTTTTGTTTTTTTTTAAATCAGCTCTAGCACTGACTCAATATTTTGCAAGTTTGGGTTTGGTTTGGTTTTTTTTTTTTTTTTTTTTAAGAGGAAAAAAAAAAGTTTAGGTCTTGGCTGTTGTAAGAAATAGCAGAAAGCTATTCTTTCCCCTCCAGAAATACCAGAAGCACTCAGTGCACTGTAAGCAACTGGCTGCAGAATTGAGCTTGTTCTTCCTTCCTCTAAACTCAGCTGGTTTTGTTCTAGCTTGACCTGACATCTTCAGTAGTGTGATTTTTTCTTTCCTTTTTTTTCTTTTTTTTTTTTTTACAAGCTTGACATCTATTTTATCTATTTTAGAAAACACATAAGTATACATAAAAACCAGTTCCATTCATAAGCAATATTTTGATGCACTTTTGTCTGGATAGACAGGGTTCTTTGAAATGCTTGTTTGTGTTTTATGAGTCCCTAAAGTGGAGGGAAAACCCATAGTGTATTACTGAGTTGAGAAGCAGGAGGTAGGTCCTGAGCTGTGGTGCACTCAGGGCAGCAAATGCCTGGGTGGAGCTGACCCTGCCAATGCCCAGGCACAGGGCAGCTTTTCAGCTGAACAGATCTGCTGTGCCCCCAGAGTCCTCCCCACTTGGGCCAGTGCTTCCCCTGCATGGCAAAGGGAGCTGCAGCCCATCCCAAGAGCTCAACACCAGGGGGGACAGAGACCATTATCAGGTAATGCATTTCTGCTTTTGCAGCTCTTCAAACTCCCTGGGACCTCCCAGAGTTCATCTTCTGCTGTGTCCTGCTGCCTTTATTACTTGAACTGAAGGACTAGAAATTGTTCTCTAGTGCTCAGTGATGCCCAATGGTAGGACAAGGGGCAATGGGTGTGAGCTGGAACACAGGAGGTTCCGCTTAAACTTGAGAAAAAACTTCTTTACGGTGAGGGTGACAGAGCAGTGGAACAGGCTGCCCAGGGAGGTTGTGGAGTCTCCTTCTCTGGAGACATTCAAGACCCACCTGGATGCCTTCCTGTGTAATTTTGTTTAGGTGTTCCTGCTTTGGCAGGGGGATTGGACTAGATGATCTTTTGAGGTCCCTTCCAATCCCTAATATTCTGTGATTCTGTGTTCCCAGAGAAACCATGTAAAATGATGGAAGCAGGGCCTTTCCTTAATTCTTTGCAAATGCCTCTCTGGTTGACCCACCAGGGAAAACGGTGCTTTTTATATTCCCTTAGGCCATGCCATGGTCAGCCCAAGTGGGAATTTCACAGTCCAGTTCACTGCAGAAAAGTCCTACAAGGGGCACATCAACACAGAGGTCAGCACTGGGGGAAGGCTTTAGCATTTCTGTGGAATAAGTATCCATTCAAGGTGGGAAAAAAGAGTCCAGAAATGGTCCTGGACAACTGGTTGTAGTTGTCCCTGCTTGAGCAGAGAGGTTAGACCAGATGACCTCCAGAGGTGTGTGCCAACCTCAATCCTTCTGCGAGACTGAAGTGGAGCAAGTTCAGATTTGATTCCCATGCAAAGCCAGGTTAGGAATTTATCAGCTAATACATCTTTCCCATCCCCACAGACACTGTTGAAAAAACAGATGTTGTGAAAGCAGGACTTGTCCAGCTGGAACAGGCAGCTCCAGACTACTGGAAGAATCCTTGATATTTTCAGCCAGAAAGCATGAAGTTATGCAGCTATTTGGAAATTTGCATTTAATTTACAGATTAAACCAATCTAAAAACCTCAACTATCTGATAAACAAGTTTCGAAGGCAATTTTTTGGCTTGAGAATGACTGAGTTGACTTTTCATACTGAGGCCTAATTTCTGAAGACTCTCAAGAGGGGGAAGATGGTTTCCTGCCCAGCTCTGTTCACACAGCACTTCATGGCTGTTAAGGAGTCAAGCCACGGTCTGACCAGTACCAGCAAGCATGATCCTGGGTTGTGTACATCGAGTTTGAATTAAGGGACACGAGTAATGCTAGGAATGCATCCGGTTATTCTGGCAACTCCAGGTCCTTCCCCAGCACTCTGTACTTGCACTGGGAGTAGAGTGGGTTGCAGTCACCCAAGTGAGAGCTGCTACATGAGAAGGTTTCATGAAGGGGCCACATTATTTTTAGCTTTCAGGATTTGTGCTTACCCTGGTGATCTGAATGTTGTTCAGTTGCTGCTGCCAGTGGAGAATACTCTCCATCCTGTGCACCCACATGTTGATGTTTCCAACCAGGACAGACTTGCCGACCCGTTGAACCAAAGTGCAGAGTGATGTGTAGAGGGTCTGCAGCAATTCCCGTATTAGCCTGATGTTCTGCTGATCTTCAAGGACTTTGAAGGAACAGAAAAGGTTAAAAATGGGAACTGCCCAAATCCTTTTCTGAATCTACATGTTTCTCAGGCAAGTCACCTGACCTGCTATAACTTCACAGGCCAAAAGAGCCAGCCTGCGCTTTTCTTCTTAGCGGAAAGAACTTAAAACATTGGCCAGGCACAGCAGGTTAGACAGCAGATGGAAAGAGATCCTCCCAGGATAAGCAGGTGAGATATCTGCCCTTTCTGCAGCACTTCCCATTTCCAGCCACTGGCAACCAGCCATCTTTCCCCTCTGATATGTGCAAGAGGTTATCTAAGTGCACCCCGTCCCCCTCTACCCCAGCTGATGTGCAGGAAGACAACTCAGGATCTCCTTTCTCATTACATATGCACACATGAACAGGGCACTCAGCTCCCAGGCTTCAGCCAGAGCTAAAGCATCAGGGAGGGCAGTGGCACATCTCAGTTGCAACTTAGCACCCCCAGCAGCCCCAAGAGGTGAAGCCAGCCCTCGAGCTTTCCTCTCCTCCAGAGCAGTGGGAACACTTGATGATACAGCAAACTGGTGACAAGGCGTCAGCAGAGCCTGCAGATGTGCCAGGCTGGGGGCAGGAGCAGCCATCTCTTCTGCAGTCAGAAAGAGGACTCAGTAGGATGCAGAAGGAACAGCAGCGAGGGAAG